CCTGGAGGCTACGCTGCCTGGACAGCCCATCGGGAGACAGACAGCCCTGGAGGCGCCTTGCCCGGAGGCTCCCGCCGCCGCCTAGGCTCTCAGGGTCCTGCTCTCCCGCCTGGTGGGCGCTGGGAGGACGGCTTCACTGCCCCGGAGCCCGTGCCGGGAACCCCTGGTGAAGGCCGGAGAACCTGGGGACTGCCGCCCGCCGCCCAGGCCGGCCCTGCCCCGGCTCGCCCTCAGTGACGCTCTGGGCACAAGGTTAGAAAAGCACACAGATTTATTGCATATCAATCTCAGTATAAATTCATTGTAGCATCGGAAAGATTACATTTGGTATACAGTCCTATTCTACAGCATTAGCCTCGCATCGGCCACGGCGTCCCGGAAGGACCGTCTCTAACAGGTACGTCCGTCTTTGTCACCAGCGTCGCCCTCGGAGAACCCCCAGGCTCGGCCGCGGTTTCCCGGACTCCGCCTCCCGCGTCCTCTGCCAGCGAGGTCCGCGCTCGCTCTGGCGCGGGCGGCTCGGGCGTCTTCAGTAAGTGCATCTACGGAACTTTCCTTCCCAGGGACACGTCATGACCAGACACGACAATGACCGCTACACACCAGCCATGCACACGTCACTGGCCACAGAAGCAATTTACAATCTCGGACGGGGACGCACCAGCCTCCTGCTTCAGGGTGGTTTTTCGAACGTGATATGAGAACCAGACATTTACATTTCTTGTTCACACTGTACAGCCTGGAAGCAAAGCAAACGGAACAGAAACGCGGCCGAATCGGAAAGGCAGCGACGGGACGGGCGCCGCGGAGGCCGGGTCAGCTCGCCGCCTCGACGGGACAGCGGGGACGCGGCCCCATCCGGGTCGCTTTGTTCACGAGCAAATTGCACATCTGGAGACTCGAGCTGCCTTTCCTTCTTTTCTTTCTTTATTTTCCCAGAAGTGGTGCTGGGTCAGCGACAGAGAGGACACAACGGCTGGAACGGAGGGCGGGGAGGAGGCGCCGTCACAGCGTCACTCGCTGCTGCAGCCACAGCGCCGTGGCTTTAGGCCCGCTGAGCTCCTGGCCC